AGGAATGCACAGTCGATCAGACAATGATCTCAGGAGCTTTCATCAGTTGATGAAGATGTGATGATGCCATGCTTTGCTTCTTAGAAAGGGAATTAGCGACGACGGCGAAGCTTGGGTCAGGAGTTCACATTTCAGATCCCTTGGGATACAACTCCAATTGACCATGAGAAAACGTATTTTGATTCATTGGGACTTTTCAATGCTCTTAGACTACGCCATCTGCGCGTTTTCTCTTCTCGTTCCAGTTTGAAATCACACGGTCGCTGGTTCGGTCTAATGAGAAAAACCATGAACATTCGGGAATCGGTCCGCACGATGCATGGGTGTATGTGTGAGGATCCGAGCGGAATTTCCTTTCTTCCCTGCTCGCCCAAAAAACGTCTCGAGTCAATTGATGCGGTCTGGGCGAGGGCCTGACGTCCTCGCCTTGATCTTGGTGAAGACGCGGAGGCCCTTGCCCATGGTCGGCGAGGACCGCGACACCCTCGCCCAGCCCAGGCGACGGTCGGCCGGCGACCTCGCAGTCCTGAGGTTTTAAAAAAACAAAGAAAAGAGAAAATAAAAAATTCAAAAAATAGTAAATTATTATTGAAAATTGTTCATATCAATACCGGCCATGCCACGTATGACGGCCGATGTTCACATCAGCGATTTCCTGCCAAAATTGACCAGATTGACTCAACTTACACAATTAAAAGATTTAGAACTGAATTAATAAAAGTGCAATAGATTTATGACTTTTTTTACACTTTTCCTGAAATTTTTACAAACTTTTTAGTATTGTCGAATCGAACTTGAGCTCTCTCTCGGTGATATTCTAATGTGACTATGAGGCAGTGGACTTTTGCTTTGAGTGAATTCACTTAATTGTGGTACGAAACAATTGATATATTGAATTGACTCATAATGCGTTGGTTTGAAATTTCTTGAAATTGCGTTTGTACTTGAGCTCCTTTTGTTTCCAACGCGTAAGATATGATCTCTATCCGACAATCACAAGTATGTTTACGAAACTCCACCATCCGGGATTCCAAAGTGAAAGTAACAATGATAATGGTGTAAGTATTATTTAACCATATCTTTCAATTATGATTTGGTTATTGGGTGTTATTTGAGCAAAACTTAAATCGGTGACTATTAGAGATTACATAAAATAAAAGTAACTCGAGACTCGAGAGTAGGTTAAATAAAGGGAAACAGCCATAAAAAAAAAACCCCCAATTTTTTGCCCACTATGATACATTTACTTTCGACTTATTTTTGTAACATCAAAAACTTCAAATTATGCTCGCTTTGACATATTTACCCTAAACTTCTTCGTGACGTAAAATAAAAAAAACCTCCAATTTGTATATATATATATGGCAAATTTACCCTTCCTTAGAGTTTCGTTAAATGATTTTTCAGCCAAAAAAACGTCATTTTTATTTCACTCAAGTCATTTTTATTTTTGTCAACACTGTTTTCTTTCAAGCGTCTATGTAAACAGATTTTTAACCGCTCTCAATGACAAGACTTTGATGAAAGGTAAATGTGTCGCGCAGGTACAAATTTGAGATTTTTGGTGTCACAAAAAAAGTTTAGGGTAACCACCGCCCGCAGCGGCTGTGTTGGCTTCGGGCTCTCTTCCCCTCACGAAGGGAAGGAGTTCGAATCCCAGCGTTGTCGTTAGGGATTCTTAAGCGTGACGTCGTGGTGGTGGGTACCCCGGGTTTACCTCTCCGGCTGTCGGTCGTGCGGGGGGTTCCCGAGTTACCAAAAAAAAAAAAGTTTAGGGTATATGAGCCACAGTGAACATGGTTTAGAGTTTTTGGTGGTTTTGGCCCTTAAAAAAAACATACAAGAGTATAATTTTGAGTTTTGACTTAATATATCTGTTTGCACCAAAAAATGACCAACTTTTGATTATTGTCGACATATGCTAATCTTAGTCGATGAGAGCAGAGCTTAGTCATTATCGACATCTTGAGTCAACTACTTGGGCAATCGACAAAAAATGGAGTCGACAATCTCGGATGAAACCGTCAAAGAAGTAGCTATCAACATAGCGGAATAAAGCAACCGTCAAGATAGTAGAGTCAAAGAAACTATCGAGATAGTGGAGTTGATGAAATCGTTAGGGTAGTGAAGTCCATATAACCGTTTGATAACCATTTGTAACGCCTATTTATAACCTCCATCGGTAACCATTGATTATAGGTTTTGAATAGACACGTCGTACTCTTTCGAGACCCTTGCATAGAAACAAACAAACATGTTATCTTTCAATTATTTATTACTACACCATACTTCTAATTTCCAGACTCACGTCCTCAATTAAATTTCGGCGTGTTTCTTAACTGTAATTTCCACATTCGCGTCGTCGATTAATTTGTGGCGAGTGTCTTTGTTGTATATCCTAGGTGCCTCGTCATCGATTAAATTCATCGTTGTATTTTTGCGTTCTCTAACTTTGTCATCGAATAAATTTCGGCATAGTTTGTGTACGTTTGGGTTCCGCACAAAGTGCTCACGTTCTCACGTTTTTGTCTACGTTCAGTCCCGCTTGAAGCGAATTCTCTCGTCTACCCGTGATATTTACCGTCCGTAATTTTCACAAAACCCGTTTTTTATAATAAAAAAAAATCGAAAAACGACTTTAGATTAAAAGTTATTTCGTTGCCCCAAAATCAATTTGAGCAAAACAAATAGTGAAAAAAAAAAGTCAGATAAATTTTTTTATTACTGCCGAAGAGGAGGTAGTGGGCCCCATCCCAACATCACCGTGCGCTTCGTTTTCTACTCGTGCCGAAAAACATCGATTTGACCATTTGGCGGGGCGCCACGCGCGAAGCTGCCAGGTCAGCTTCCTCCCGCTGCAAATCCCCCACGCGTCGTCCGTACACCTGCAAATTGCGCACGTGCTCCGCGGATCGGGTCTTGTCCGTTACGACATCGACGACCGCGGGGTCGCCGTACGTGGGGCCCCCGATTTCGGACGCTCGGCGGATGACGTCACCGCGGGGGTAAGCCGGAGCCGGGTCTTCACGCGCAGGTGCTAACTGCTGATCCGGGTGGGGATGCTGTGAAAAAAGAGAAAAAAACGTGTTCACATCTCGAGGAAGGTTTGACTTTTCGGGATGCTCCCCGCCATTTGACCACGTGCTGCTTTTGCCCTGGTCGCGGTCGCTCCCGCTTGCTGGTGTGGGTGGGGGTGCTTCGTCGAACCTGAGCATGCGGGAGCGGACAAAACCGTAGCGGTTACCCCGTTTAATGATCATTCGAATTAATTAACCTCAGAGGTGGTCCCGGTCCAACTCACCGGGTACCAGATCGGATGTGTTGGAGTTGGCCAATACTTCGGGGATCCTTGTTTCTCACACCGGATACGCCCACGTGAGCTTAGGGAAACTGAAGTGTTATCCGACGACATGTGATCCCTGCGTGCGGAATGCGGGGGTTCGGGGCGCCGCCCGACACGGTGTCCACGCCGCCTTGGCCACGTAGGCGGGGTTCGGGCGCCGCCCTGACGGGGTTCCAATGAATCTGCATTTGGTGCGAGATTAAGAGATTTCATATAGTTTTAGGTTTTGGGCCCGTTTGGGGCATATATATATTTTGCTCGTTTTTCTGATCACAGTAATGAGTTGAGTGGTCTGTAAACCGAAAACATAGTGAAATCTCTTTGCAGGACGTAGCCCTAATCGAGGGTGAACCTGGGTAAATTCGTGCATCGTCTATTTTCTTTGTTTTTCTGCGTGATCGTTCTGTTTTGGTTCTCGATACGTCCCTTCAGGACGGGATCGAATCGGCACGTTTCAGGTGGTTTCCGGGGTGATCGGTCCTGAACCGGAATACCAGGATCGGACCGACCGACCGGACCGGCCATCTTCTTGATTTTCTTTTTCTGAACCAATTCGTGCGGATCTGTTCCGGTTTGAATCTAAACTACGTAATGTCCCCCTTTCGTGACGATAAGATGGCATCTATTTTTCTTTTTTGTTTATATTCTTATGAGAATTTTATTTAAAAAGGGGGCACTTGTTAATAAGCAATTAAATGAGCAGATTTTATGATTTTCGATGTTCAATTTTTATATGTCGAAAGCAATGCTTAACTGCTATCTTAAAAGCCTTGGTACCCGATATTTGAATGGTTATGATTACTCAATATCTTGTAACGCCCGTAGAATCGCCCCCTTAAAATGACGTCGTATAGTACTTGATCGATGTGTGCATTTCCGAACGCGACATTCTTCGGACAATCGGAAGGAATAGTAAAATCATCAATCATTTCTATAACAATCTCCTATTGTTCCGGCAAAAGACCAAAAGAAATCTTTGATGGGTGAGTAAATATCATCATACAAAACTTAAGATCTACCCCTATATGGGGGCAAGAAGTTGGCCTAATTTCTTGTGGTTCATTTACTTCGTGGGAGATGGGAAAGAAAATAAACTATTTATCATTTTTAATTCTTACTTTACTTTCGAATTTCGAAACAAAATCATTATAAATCCGAAAAATTGAATATATACGTAGAAATTTTACTTGTCATTAGATGCATAATTTTGAAAAGTTGGACGTTTCACATGAAATAAAAGTCAAACTACGAAGAGACACGCATGATTTACACCAAGAAAAATACAAAGTAGTAATTACCTCGAGCAGAGATTAGCTAGCTCTCTTTTATTTTGCCTTTTTTTTCCAATTATATCAATACTTCTTTCTTTTTTTTGCTTGCCAATAAGGGTTTCGACGTGATTGGGACATATCTCATTCGCTGCTAAGGCTTCAACATCGAACCATCCAAAAAAAATCAATGGAGACCATTCTTGGCCATTTGGGTAAAGATCAAAGTATAAGAAAGTAAAATAGAAGAGATTCAATCTAAAAGTATAAGAAAGTAAAATAGAAGAGATTCAATCTATCATATGAATCACATATCCCATATTGTGTGGATCGAGATATTATCGTAAGAGGAAAGATGGATAGGCTGCTGTAAATTTTTAGAAGTTGAATTGCAAAAGATTAACTCTTCATTCCGAACAAGGTTCTCTACCAACTCACTTACAAATTTTTTACAACGTGGTCGGACCAACAAGGCTTAACATCTCTTTGATCTTCTAATCACATGCCCTAATCAAGAAGCTAAACATTATCTATATATTTCTTTAAGGATTCTGGGTCAAAACAGTTCGTTTGCCGTCGAGCCGCAGCTAAAACGAGCACACCAGCTCGTGTAGTCTCTGGCTAACCCTTGAAGTCTCCACTCCAACACGAGAAAGTCTCACCTGTAGAAAGCGTTTTCAGGAGGAAGTCAAACCATGTTTCATGGTCAACCTAATCATGCTAACGAATGAACTTTTTCATCGAATGAACTGAAGTTTGCTGCTTGAATTTATTCACCTGAGCATGAAGGGTGTGGAAGACCTTGTCGCCGATGCTGGAGCTGCTGGCGCTCACGACTTCGGCTCCTTCTTCCTCGAGAATGCCGATGGCTTCGTACAGCATGAAGCTCTTGCTCGTCCCGCTCCCGCTGATGATGGTCACCTCGAGGCCGGAGTCCCACTCTCTTATGTTGACGACCGGCAAGGTCGAGGCTCGCCAGAACGGCCCTTCGCCCAATGCCGGCCCGCCGCCCTCCTCCTGACGGCTGACGTTCAGCCGCGCCGCCATGAGCTCCTTCTTCGCCTTCAGCCTCTCGATCCTCTCTTTCAGCTGCGATATGTACTCGGCGGCCCGATCGATTTGGTCCTGCTGCGACAGCATGTCCTGAAAAAACAGGGGGAGCCCGCTGAATTTCCCGAAAAGAAGACTAAAGCAGGCGAAAACCCAGGAACCGAATCGGCTCGAGCCGTCCGGACGAGCTCGTGGCGTACCTTGGAGGCGGACCTGTGATGGTGGGGAGGGATGACTGAGGCGAGCTTGAAGCAGAGGCCCTTCATGTGGATCCTCCGGTTCCGCTCCACCGTCTTCCGGTCGAGCTTGACCGACTCGCCGCTGCTGCTGCTCTTCTTCATCTCTCCCTCTCTCTCTCCTGCAACCTCGAACGAGCTGATCGTCGAAAGAGCGAGGCGATTTGGATGGAATTCGAAGTTCGGGGACGAAGGATGGGAAGAGGAGAAGATGGGAGTAGTGTGACGAACAAAGCGCGCGCGGCCACTTATAAATAGGGGCAGCGCGGGCCCTCCGGGGGTCGCAGACGCTACAGCCTACATAAACGCTAAAAACATAAACTGTTCTCACAACGTACACATGGCGAAGGAACGGACGGCGAAACCTCCCCGCTTTGTCAACAACGGCTGGCCCACGACGAAAGCGTGACGAGAGGCATTGGGCCCCGCACGTGCTCATCCAATCCTCGGTCGCATTTTCTATGTTTCTAAAATTAGCTTCTACCGAATCTACCCCCATGGCCATGAAATGCCATCATACGATTTATGAATCGAGTGAGACGCGGGTGTAAAGGTCGATTTGGTGCTGACGTGGATAATTTTTAATAACTTTTTAAATAATTCTTTTCTCATTTTTTTCCTTTCCTTTTTTCCTTTTTTTTTCCTTCCTTCCTTCCTTCCCCTTTGCCCGTGGCTAGTCGCTGGCCATGGCCAAGCACCGGCCACAAGCCCGAGGAAGGAGATGCAAGGAAAAAAAAAAGAAAAAAAAGAAAGGAAAAAAATCTTAAAAAATATTTAAAAATTTCATGTCAGCTCCAACCGTTTGCCGATTATGCCAAATAGGACAGCCGCCATTCACGTCAGTAATTTCCGGCCTAAATTGGCCGAATGGACTGAAATGGTATCAATATGAAAAGGTTTAAGACTAAATTGATTTAATTAAAATGTTTAGGACTGAATTGGTATCAATACAATAAGTTTATGACTTTTTTGATACGTTTTCCTTCATTAAGTACATGCTATAAAATTGGTCCATTGGGCGTTGAAGATGAACCATTTGCTTTGCTGCCCGATTTTGGTCTGCCATAATTTTTGTGGACTAATCTTAATATACCCAGCATTGCTCAGCTGTAACAATCTCATGCAAAAAGCATAATAGTTGATATACGTCATCTTCCTGGCGCATCAATGCTTACGATACTTATATTCTTTTAGTAGTCGCATTTTTGCTCATAAAGCGAGTTGCAAGCATCAACATCATTCACATTTGTATTAAGTCAATCATATGTGTGAACGATGGTTATAGATTGTACCTAACTATTAAAAGCACGGCCACGAACATGAAATGCCATGATTCGATTTGTGAATCGAGTAAGACGCGAGTCTAAAGGTCGATTTGGTGCTGACGTGGATAATTTTTAATTAATTTTTTCTTTTTTCCCTTTTTTTTCCTTTCCTTTTTTCCTTTTTTTTCCTTCCTTCCCCTTTGCCTGTAGCTGGTCGCTGGCCATGGCCAAGCACCGGCCACAAGCCCAAGGTAGGAGATGGAAGGGAAAAAAAAAAGAAAGGAAAAAAATATTTAAAATTTTTAAAAACATATCAAAAAATTCCACGTTAGCGCCAACCGTCTGCCGGCAGTGCCAACTAGGACAGCCGGCATCCACGTCAGCGATTTCTAGCCTAAATTGGCTTAATGGACTGAAATAATACCAATATGAAAGGTTTAAGACTAAATTGGTTCAATCGAAATGTTTAGGGCCGAATTGGTACCAATGTAATAAGTTTATGACTTTTTTGGTACATTTCCCTTCATTAAATACATGCTATAAAATTGGTTCGTTGGGCGTTGAAGATGACCCATTTGCTTTGCTGCCCAATTTCGATCTGCCATAAATTTTGTGGACCAACCTTAATATACCCAGCATTGCTCAGCCTTAAAAATCTCACGCAAAAAGCATAATAGTTGATATACGTCATCTCGGTGGCGCACCAATGCGTACGATACTCATATATTCTTTTAGCAGTCGCATTTCTGCTCATAAAGCGAGTTGCAAGCATCAACATCATTCACGTTTGTATTAAGCTAATCATACATGTGAACGATGGCTATAGATTGTACCTAACTAATTAAAAGCACGGCCACGGACGAACGAACGAACGACAATAGAGACTGACCTTAATATACCCAGCATTGCTTGGTCGTAACAACCTCACGCGAGAGGTATAACAGTCGAGAAACGTTATCCCGGTCGCACACCAACGCGTACAATACGTTTTCTTCTATTTTTATTTTAGCAGTCGCGTTTTCGCTCATAAAGTGAGTTGCAAGCATCGACATCATTCACTTTTATATTTATGTTAAAGCTAATCATACATGTGAACAATGATTATCGTTTGTACCTAACTGCTAAAAGCACGGCAAGGGACGAACGAGTCCTTTTCTTCGTAATTTAATGACGTGGGCCCCCACGGCTGTCCTTTCCCCGTCATTCATTTCGACGTAGTAGTAATCTTGTCCCTCGAGGCGTCCTAGGTGGCGGCCCTTCCTGTTCAGTCTTGACCCTTTGACTTTACTTCTCACTGTCCAGTCACGCAAGAGATCCGCGGTTGCGCCGGCCAACTTATAACGAATTTGCCACTGCGCCACATATGTGCTGCTCCGCGTCATATTAGTTTGATCTAGTCTAGTTTCCCACTCGTCGCCAAAAAGAAGAATAATAATAGTAATTTAGCTTCATACCATGAAAAACCCTATATTTATACACCTATAATAAATTTACCCTCCGTTAATTTTTATTAAATTTTACTGTCAAATTGCTGAGTTTGATAACTCGCGACAGTTGATGTGCATACCAGTTTGGGGTTTTACTTTCTATTTGTCATAGGTGTATCAGTTCATGATTTTTTCGTGGTATTAATCCAATTTAACGGAAACTAATAAAGTGTAAATTTGTCACAAGTGTACCAATTTAGGGTTTTTGGTAGTTAAAAAATTAGTCTGGGGTAAATCTGTCATAGGTGTACTAGTTTTGGATTTTTAGTGATCAAAAAATTAATTTGAGATATATTTGTCACAAGTGTACCAGTTTGAGATTTTTTCGTGATATTTACCCTAATACTTTCTCCCACTTAAAGTAATCAGTACCAAAAAGATTGCCCGCTACCGATTGATTTGCGTGTAAGGATTAATTTAGCGAAAAGCTCGGTTGTTTTGCTATATCAAAAATCAGAATTAGATTCGAAGCTTTTAGAACTTCATGTTACCTTTGGCTCTTAGCTAGGTCAATGACCCGGTGAGCATTGGCGATAATTCATCTTAAGTAGGTGTTCAAACGATTTCGATTGAATTGATATATCAGGGTCAAGTTTTAGTGAAATATCTCTCATTCGAGACGGACGAATCCCGAAATAATAAAATCTCATTCGGAATGAATTCATCCAATAACCTAGACCTAAAAAACAGCCAAAAAGCTAGCAAACACGAGAGAGCAACATTGGTTTTCTACATGGAGCACCTCCCAAAAGATGGAGAGATTAACCGATGATTAATCAACATTTTTCTAGTTAAGTTGTGATGTCCATATCTATGATACACCAATCAAAGGACTATATAAAGAAAAACACAACCCGTTTACGAGGGTGAACAAAAGTATCCACTGATTGATCATCGACGACGTTGCATAAAAGGGTCCAAGCAATGCTAGGTCGAGCTTTCATGGACTACAGTTGAGGAAATCATGTCCACAGGGAAATATGTTTAAATTTTTTTAAACATGTGAATGAAGTAAGATTTCATTTCCACGGCATTGGCTATCCACACCATGCAAATTGAGGCAATCTTAAAAAAAAAAAATCTTATTTTGAGAGATTTCTCAGACATACGATGGTGTCCGACATACCTATCTTTACAAATCGATTTATGGCCATTAATGTCATATTCCGACCACAATGACCGTTGCCGCTATTTTGTAAAGAGTCTCATTACAGAGTGTTCCGATGGCACTTGTCGGCCATAATTCAATTAAAGAATGTTCGAACGTTCAATGCGCTGATTACACGTAACACGAAGAGAACGGCACGTTAGAAATGACAAACTTACTTTGTTCGAGTGGTAGCAAAACGATCTTGGGGTCTCTGTAACCATCCTTTTTGGATGTGCGGAAACGGTGGCTTCGGGTTCCCCTACTGACCGGCAACACCTCGAAAATGAAGGGATTCCACACATCTACGCTCATGTATGTGAAGATCCTCTCGACCCATCTCTGTTCGTTCGTGACTTGGTAGAGAAATTAGGGCCATCTGTTTCTATTTTTGGCCATATTTGCAAACACTTGGCTATGCAAATACACTCAAAATCGTCGAGTAGATAATTTGATTGAGGTCAGCGAAATTCCACGTGACTTGCACCATCATAGAGTCCAACAGACTTACATAATGATTAAAGATAGGGCTTTGCTAGCGTAACGCTTTTTGGGTCACTGTGAGGGAAAAATTATTTAAAAAGTCATAAATTTATTGTACGGTAGTCAATTCAGTCTTAATCTTTTCAAATGTGCCAATTCAGTCCTAAACATTTAAATAATTTGCCAATATAGTCCTAAACCTTTTAATTGTGTCAATTTAGTCCTAAACTTTTAATAATTTGCTAATTTAGGCTCCGTTCGTTTGGCGGAAAATATTCTCCCGGAAAATATTTTCCGGGTTTTCCGGTGTTCGGGGGGCGGAAAACGTTTTCCGTGGGAAAATATTTTCCTTCCCCTCTCACAAAATAGCCTAGGTCTACGGAAAATGACTTCCGCTTCTTCAAAAGCGGAAATCATTTTCCGGTGCTTCTTCTTTTTCTTCTTCTTCTTCACTAAGGTCGCCGGCCGCCGCCGCCGCCGCCGGTCGCCGAGGCCGCCGGTCGCGCGCGCGCGCCGCGGCCGCGCCGCCGTCGCCGCCGCGGCCACCGCCGGATGCCGGAAGTTGGCCGCCGGTCACCGACCGCCGCCGCGGACGCACGCAAGACATTGGCCGTCGGTCACCGGCCGCCGCCGCCGAACGCAGGACGTTGGCCGTCGGTCGCCAGCGAAAAATATTTTCCGAAACTTTTTCATATTGGTCGCCGAACACTGTAAAATTATGTTCCGGGAAAACATTTTCCAGGAAAATGACTTCTGGAAAAATATTTTCCAAAAGGAGAATATTTTCCGCCAAACGAACGGAGCCTTAGTCATAAATATTTTGACGATTTATCAATGTAGTCCTTCCAGCCAATTATTTAAATAAGAGGTTTAAGATGACTGAAATGGCAAATCTTCAAAAGGTTTAGGACTAAATTGGCAAATCATCAAAATGTTTATGACTAAATTAACAATTGAAAGGTTTAGGATTGAATTGACGTCGGCTCCGTATAATAGATTTAGACTTTATGGACAATTATCCACCATTGTGAAAGTAACAGCATGTTGTAAGTCAAAATTCTTAAGGGAGTAGACCCCACAACAATTTATAATTTTTTTTATGGTCTGGAACATGTTGTTAATCTCATTATAAATCAAGGACTGCTACTTAATCATTTTTCTGAAAGTTATTGATCCTCTAGGTTTGATAGATGAATTTAAGCCCTCTAAATGGTTGACACATTGAGCTTAGTGATTCTAAAGAGCCGATTTGATATGGGTGTTTGTTCCATTTTTTTTCGTCTTCTTCTTCACGATGTGTTCGCTGTGACTCTGCTGAACATCACCGTGCACCACCGCGCCACCACCTCTAGTCACCGCTAGCTTCGCCACCTCCAATCTCTCCGTCACAGCTCCCCCCTCTCTCTATATATATATCCTGGACTTAATGCACATATCGTTGGAGTTTAATTCGAATTTTTTAGGTTGAAATTACCGAGTTTGCTTTAGGACACAGAAAACATAGCCCCCATAACCTTTTGAACTATGTTGCGCAAAGTGAATAGTGGCTAGGGCAGAAACCGATGGTGCTGAAACTTTCTTGATTTCGTGATAGAGAGAAAATAGTACACGTTATCATTTTTCTAACACTTTCACATTCTGCATTGCGGAAAGGCATTTTCTTCTCACTCTTCCACATACCCTATTCTATTAATAATTTAGGGAAAAAATCGTACTCTACATTTCACTCGACCATCATTTATGTATTTTATTTTATACTTAAATATAACCCGAGTTTTATCTTTGAAGATCACTTTGCACCTTCACATCAATTGTCCCCGTGTACCTAATTTTTGTGGTACATATTTTTCAGACCGCCACATACTTAATTACCAAAGAGGCGGACCAAACTGTATAACTTCGTGGTCATCAACAGCTTGCTAAAACGAGAAGACCAACTTGTGCAGTCTCTCGCACACCCTTGAAGTCTCCACACCAATACGAGGAAGTCTCACCTGCAAAATACGTGGAAACTAGTTCACAAATTCATCTCCTATATATGATTTATTTATCAACCTCATATGCTTCGATAACGAGTGCCAAACCAGATCGACAAAAAGGTTCAACCTTTGATATCATACCTGAGCATAGATTGTGTGAAAGACCTTAACACCGACGGTGGAAACGCTAGCGTACACGGCTTCGGCTCCTTCTTCCTCGAGAATGCTAATGGCTTCAGACAACGTGAAGTTCTTGTCTGTCCCGCTGATCATCGTGACCTTGAGACCGGAATCCCAGAACCCCAGTTCGATGACCGGCAAGATCAAGCTCGGGGGGTGCTCGCTTCCACTCTTGCTTGAGCCGTTGGACCTCATCGTGAGCTCCTTCCTCATTTTCAATTCCTCGATGCTCCCTTTTAACTGGTTGATGTACGCTGTGGCTTGAACGATTGCATCTTGCTGGGACAACATGTCCTATAAGGAAATATAAACGAAAGAAATGCGGTTGAGTAATTACTTTTTGGAGTACATTTTGTACTATTTTCCTGAATTCCTTATACATATTGGATGAGCATTACGACATAGAGCTCTTGTGTGATCAAGAATATCGAAACGATTTGAACTTCATGAGTGCCGATTCAAACTTGACGAGTCTCTTCTAGGGTTTCTAGAGAGAGAACCATCTCTAGAAATCCTATACTTGTACGATGCATCTCCTAGCTTTATGACTTATGGATGTGAATACTTTCTTTAGAAGAAAGGATTCGATTTTGAGATACAAATGGGTCCCTACATTAGTTCTATTGCCTTGTGTATTTGCAATCGGTGAATTGTCGTGCTAAAATTGAGGGCGCAATGGGTTGTTCTACAAGTTTAAAGTTATCTTAGAACAACCCAAATTCTTTTTTCTATTTTAGCACTACGAAGGGCCATGGACTAACAACTCTCTAATCCTTAAGAAACTGAAGTTTATGCGCATAGAAAAGGACAAATTAGTGCTGAGAAAAACACAACGAGAAGAGATAGGCTAATAGGCAGCAAAAGAATTACTGCATGAGTATAGTAAATATCATGCACGCCTGCAAGAACTTTTTCGTGAACTCTGATGAGTAAGGTTACATGATGTTCTTTAAGAAATTGTCTTCCATCACTGAAAACTAATTGTTACAGCAAGGCCCATCAAAGCCAGGTGTTGGAGTTGGCGAATACTTCGGGGACCCTTGTTTCTCACACCGGATACGCCCACGTGAGCTTAGGGAAACTGAAGTGTTGTCCGACGACATGTGACCCATGCGTGCGGAATGCGGGGGTTCGGGGGCAGCGCCCCCCGACGGGGGTTCCGCTGACCAGGAACCGTTTGGGCCCGTTTGGGCTGGCCCGTATAGTGCGAGATTAAGAGATTTCATATAGGTTTAGGTTTTGGGCCCGTTTGGGGCATATATATATATTTTGCTCGTTTTTCTGATCATTGTAATGAGTTGAGTGGCTGTAAACCGAAAACATAGTGAAATCTCTTTGAAGGACGTAGCCCTAATCGAGGGTGAACCTGGGTAAATTTGTGCATCGTCTATTTTTCTCTGATTTTCTGCGTGATCGTTCTGTTTCGGTTCTCGATACGTCCCTTCACCAGGAAGGTACGAAGCACGAAAATTTAACTTTTTTTTTCTACATTCAAGGGCTAAAGCTGCGTGCATAAGCCTTTCAATTCCATACTCCTCATGGAAAAAAATTGATGAAAAGACGGTAAATAAATTACAGAGTAGAGAGACACCACAATAAATTTACGCCATTCAATCCATGACCTATGTCCACAGGTAAAGGAGGAGGAGAAATTCACTATAGCCGGAGATGGGAGAACAACGGAAAAAGAAAGAACTCTCAAAACCCTACCCCCTAACGTTGCAAAGTTGATATTTAGGAGAAAACCTTAAGAGAAAATATTGACCAAACGTTCTTGGTTTAACGTCCATTTCTTTCATTTACCCTTTACGTAATGGCATATTTTCTTCGCACACACTCTTTCTTTTCAAATCGTTCCTTTCCTTCCATGACATACCTCGCAAATTCTTGGAAATTAAGGATGAGTTAAGGATGAGAGCCGGTCGCAAATTTCTTCAACGTCTACCAGAGAGAGAGAGAGAGAGAGAGAGAGAGAGAGAGAGATTCAAACACACGAGCGCGCGCAGAAATACACCCACGACGACATCAATATATAAAAGAAGGTACCTGTGAGTATTTGAGATGGTGGGGAGGGATGAGAGAAGCGAGCTTGAAGCAGAGTCCTTTCATGTGGATTCTTCGATTTCTCTCCAATGTCTTCCGGTCGAGCTTGATAGATTCAGTTGCCCGGTTCGTCTTCATCTCTATTCACTCCTCTCTTAGCAACCCCTTTTTTGTTCAAAAACACAAAGAAAGCACACAAACAGCACAAGTTAACAAGATGACAATTAACTCAAGAATCGAGCAAGGGTTTGTCACCATGTGGAAGCTGGAATCAATGTGACCCAAATGCATGCCTCCTGCTGTATATATATATATATATATATATAGAGAGAGAGAGAGAGAGAGAGAGAGAGAGAGAGAGAGAGAGAGAGATGATCGTCAGTGAGTACTGAGTAGTTCATAGATGTTGCCAAGGGAACACAAAAGGAAAGGAAAACGAGAGAAGAACACGATGCAGCCTCGTGTAAATGAGCGTGGAAAGTTGGAAAGGTCGGTTGTCATTCAGACAGCGAAATGGGGTGTACTTGCTTTTGGTTCGACATGTGAAGTTATCACGGCTTGTCGGTTCTACTTAGATATCATGGGAAGGGAAGTAACAGTTATTATTATTAAAGGAGGACAACTTAAAATATGAATTTACTGCTTAAATTAGAAGACTTCAATCATTCTTCACATATAATTTGCATGGTTGAGCTAGAGAACATTAACCTGAAAATTACAGTGAACGGTAGGATTTTCAATATGCTTCCTTATAGAGTTGACAATATGATGCGTTGAGCATGTTTAAAGACGTGACAATTCAAGACTTGGTGGAATGAGGTTTTCTATTTGACAATTCGTTTGCACCAAAAAATGACTAACTTTTGCCATCGACAAATGATAAGCTCGGTTTACTACTCAAAATGTCATTTGTAAACAATATAATCTCAGTTTTATTGACATATGGAAAGCATGCCTGTCATTTTGGAAGAGGTGGAGCCGTAACCATAGTTAGAAGGATTACTTCTCGGAGAGCTATTAATTCAAATAAATCTCTAATCTTATTTTTCGCAAGCATTCTAGTATATCAATATCCTTAGCATTTCTCGATTAAAAGATGTGAAAAAGAAAATGCCCCACTTAATCCAAGGAATATCATCCAAAAGATTCTAAACCTATTATACGGAAGTCAGTTCAGTCTGAAACCTTTCAATTATGCTAATTTAATCCTAAACCTTTTGATAATTTACCAAACTAGTCCTAAATCTTTTGACAGTTTGCCAATATAGTCCTTTCAATCAAATAACCAAATAATAGATTAAGAACTGAATTGGCAAGTTTTTCAAAATATTTATGACTAAATTGATAAAAAGAAAGGTTTAAAACTAAATTGAAAAATCGTCAAGAGATTTAGCATTAAATTGGCATAGTTAAAAAGTTTAAAACTGAATTGACTGCCGTTTAGGACTTTTTGGATAATTATTCCCGTAATCCATATAATCGGCTGACCATATAAATGATGTCATCCTAGCAAAAAGACGAGAGCTTTGGCTTTTTGTTCATGGATATTGACCACGGACTGCACCAACCGTGCAGATGACACCTCATCATTACAGATCATGGGCCATCTTTATGTCGTGTTGAGTCTTGCCTCTGTGTTGAATCTTGACATATTCCTCAGAAATATCCGCATATAAATCATCCACCGGCCAGACGGTCGCCTTGTTACCTAATCTCTTCTTGATCTGATACATTAAATATGGATTAAGTTCTGGTTTCTTCGGTTCACAAATTTCGTAGCTCCGGAGGCGAGAAAATTACCAAAAAAATCCTAAATTCATTGCACTTGCGAATTCTTTCAATTTGGCCAATTTAGTCATAAACCATTTTAATAATTTATCAATCTAATCTGTTTTTGCCCGAAATCGGAATGCTGACCGGCGCCGACGTGAATAATTTTTTAAAATTTTTTGGTTCCTTTTTCTCTTTTCCTATGTCAGCTTGGAGATCAGCCGGATATCATGGGGGAAGAAAGACTGACAAGGTGCGGTGTAAGATAAATCCAAGTATGAAACGTCTCCGACCAAAAACAAATGTGCACGAGACAATCTTTAAAAACGTTCTAATTTAGTACGGAGATTATGTGCACCCAGAAGGTGAATCCAAGAGACATGTTATCATTGATAGTCCGTCCAAACGATTGTAACATCGGATGATGTTCGGCTCCGCTGGCATTTATCCATAGATCTTGTTTGCGTGAGTGTTTTGAACCAGCTTTTTGTCTTGTTTCGATGGAATTATTGGTGTCATTCGGTTCGTGGGCTCCGTCGGACGCCAGGGAAGCAAAGGAAGCGTGCATGATACAATCAGGAAAATTACCCAAAAAGTCATAAATTTATTGTACTTTTATCAATTCAGTCTTAAATCTTTTAAGTTTGCTAATTGAGTCATAAACCTTTACACTTCTTGCCAATTGAGTCCTAAACCTTTACACTTCCTATCAATTGAGTCCATCCGATCAATTTTGACCGGAAATTGCTGATGTGGATGCCGGCCGATCACGTGACGCTGATATGGATATTTTAAAATAATATTTTAATAATTTTCTGAAATTTTTACGGTTTTTTTCTTCTTCTTTTTTTTCCTGCTCTCTGTTTTTTTTTTGGGATTTTGGAGTTGGCCGGCGAGGATGGCCGGCCGACCCTCACCGGCTTTGGGCGAGGGCTGCGACGCCCTTGCCTGATCTGGCTAGGCGAGGGTCGACGGCCCTCACCAGCCCCAGGCGAGGGCATGGGGCCACCAAGTGCCTCGCCTAGGGCCGTCGACGGCGTTGCAGCCCTCGCCTAGAGTTGGCAAGGGTCGCCGACCCTCGCCCCTAGCCAGTGAGGGTTGGCCGGCCACCCTTGTCGGCAGACTCTACAACCCAAAAAAAAAAATAAAGAAAAGGAAAAAAAAGAGAAAAAAACCATAAAAATTTCAGAAAATTATTAAAATGTTATTTAAAAATGTCCACGTTAGCGCCACGTGGTCGGCCGGCGTCCACTTCAGTGATTTCCAGTGGATGGACTCAATTGGCAATAAGTATAAAGATTTAGGACTCAATTGATAAACTTGAAAGATTTAGGATTTAATTGATAAAAGTGTAATAAGTTTATAACTTTTTGGATAATTTTCCTGATATAATCTCCATGGACATCGGATGCATGAACGTGAGAGACAAAAACGGGTGTAGTCATCAGCATTGATGCACCAATTAGGAATGAATTATGAGAGAATCAGTGAGGCTCAAGAGATAGAGCTGAAGGGGTCATCAATTCACCGTTCGGTTTGGAGAATCAGCACACGTAATGCAAAGACAAAAAAGATATTTCCTTCCCCATTCTTTGAATGAAAGCCCAAAGCAAGTAAGGTTCCGTTCATTTTGCGGAGAACAAATATTTTGAAAAATATTTTTTCTGAAAATGATTACTCGTATCGCTTGAATAATTCATCGATGGAAAATGTCTTCGTTATCGACAATAATTTATATCCAAATATTTTCGTGAACAATGAAAATATTTTTCATTCGCCCATTTTCCTAAGCGATACGGGCAATCATTTTTAGAAAAATATTTTCCAAATCATTCGTTCTCCTCCGAAACAAAGGGAGCCTTTACTTGTTGTGGATAAATGATCTCAAGCGATACATGTGCTCACTTTTAGGAAAATGCTTTATAAATTATTCATTTTTCGCGGAATAAACGTACCTAAAAGCCAAATTATAATTTTCCATGGGACGTGTAACTAGACCGGCTTTAGGGGCGTTCAGCACATTTTTGGTTCATTTTCAGCCTCTCCAAGTCGGTTGCAATGATGTATCCTTATGCGTTTTAGGGTCTGTCTTAGTTTAGCTCTAAAACTTAATTGTGGCCATTTTTACAGAAGTATATAAGTTGAAACTTTTTAAGCAAATTTAATTTCATACAATTATTTTAAGCCCACGAGGGCATGTGACTAGCTCCTATTAAATACCAAACACGGGATTGAAAGTCAAACCCGAAATGAGTATTTTCATTCCCGGCTAATTCTCTTCAACCAAGCAACTCATTACTACTGTTTTTATGGCAAATGATTGAATCGCAAACATAGTGAGATGACAAGGCCCTCAATCCTTGTAGAACAATAAAGCCCGAGAAGAATTTATGGCAAGGGAAATAATTGTAGAAGTTTCCTACATAAATTCTTGAATCATAACTGGTGATCCACTTCATTAATGCACTACTTCCCTCAAGCTATATAAGTTCTCATCTCTAGATCGACTACATCATCAAATAATCAACAATCACAGACAATTTTCTGACACTTCCGTCCCCAAATGACCATCATGGCAACGCTCAAGAAGTTGTCTGCTCTCATGACCTTGTTCGTCGTCACTGCTGCATTGCTTCCTAGAGCTACCTTCGCCGGAAACCCTGATTGCGCAAAGGGAATGACTAGCGATTGCGGGTCTTCGTTCTTTCAAATCATAGTCCTTGCCAACACTGTTGCACCCACCAATGAATGTTGTCGTGAGCTCGTGAAGGCGGGGAAGAACTGCCACGATCAATTCGTGGAGTTGACCCTTTCGACCCACAAGCCGATTGGGGGGACAGTATCCGATGTCCATAGGAGGAGCAATGAGACGTGGAACAATTGCGTTGCAGCTGTATCCCCTCCCGAGCCCGCTCGTTGAGAACTATTCCTATTTTATAGTACACTAAACTTGTAAAATAAAAGAGACGAAAGAATTACAATTTTCTATTGGATTCTCCTCAAAGAATTTTCCTATTTTTTGTGCCTCTTAAGATGAAGCGCAATAGTGGATGAATCATAATTTTAGTGTTCAATGTGCTTAGAAACTTGTAGTTTTTTTAAAATGATCTGCAAAATGCAATCTGCCCTGAAGTTGTTAATTACTTGCAAGTGTGAAAACATGACCTTTTGAAACGCATAGTTAAGCGATCGAAAGATCAAATGATGGTTTGATAATCATACAATCATCTCTACTAATGACATGAATACGTAGTTAACGCTAGCCGATCCAGCTATGTATATTGTCATGTAAAGTAAAGTAAGGACGACTTTTTATTGTGAGATAAACTTTTTTTTGTAAACTTTAATCGTTTTTTTTGCTAAATTTG